CGCCCGCCGCCCCCGCGCAGCGCGCCCCCAGCGCCGCCAGGTCCATGAGCACCGCCTCCGAGTAGCTGGGCACCAGCTGCTGGTTGGAGCGGATGTGCCACTCGAGCTCCGTGCTGTCCACCGTGTTGACCCGCGGCAGGCGGTGCGTGAGCGGCGGCAGCAGCTCGTCGCTGGGGCTCAGGCCGCCGCCCGCGCTGCTCGCCGAGCCGGGACCTTCCAGGCCGAAGAGCTTCTCCACGTGGTAGTGCGCGTAGGCCGTGCGGTACTCGGCCAGCACGCGCAGCGGCCACGACAGCGTGAGCAGCGCCGCGGCCCAGAAGGCGGACGAGCAGGCGTACCACGGCGGCCGGGCCGGGTCCGGGAAGGCCACCATGAACTCGCGGAAGTCCACGTTCTTGAGGTGCATGCCCTCGCGCGCCTCCATGTAGTCGTCCAGGCCCTCGTTCTCGGCGAAGAAGCGCGCGCGCTGGCACAGGTACGCGTTCTCGGCCTCCACGCTGGCGAAGCTGAAGCACTTGGTGAAGCGCAGGCGCGTGGCCGGCGCGCCCTCCAGCCCCACCAGCGCCTTGGACACGTCGCGGACGCCGCAGCGCGCGTAGTCGAACTCGGCCTCCGCCACGTGCGTGTTGACGCGCTCATGGTAGACCTGCGGCGCCGGGGAGGGCGGCGGGAGTCGCCTCTGTCGGCTCACCCTCGTCCGCCCCATCGCCGCTCTTGCTGCCTGCTCAAACCCTAAGCCTGCCCTGCCTTCGAGCCCGCTTGGAGCCGGGTAGGATCTGCTTATCATCTGCTTTATGGAGCAGCGCAAGCCCTCAACGTACTCAACTAGAGAGGAAGACGGGCCGGAGCTCAGACCTGCGGGTGTATTCTAGTTTGAATTAAGCTCTGCTTCGTCACGGGGTCAGGCGCTGGCCACGAACTGCCCCTCGGGCTTGCCTAACCGTTTTGCCGTCTCCCATGTCCCCCGCTGCCCCCTCATGACCCCAAATGGCCTGCCCTTCCTGTTTACAGATGTGGTCCCTAATGGCCGGAACCGGCTTTGTCTTGGGGCTCCCTGTTCCCACCTTAGCTGTCACCCAGCCCCCTTCCTGATTCTCACAGGCCCCGGGTTTCTGTTTACCCATCCCAAAACTGAGACGGGGGTCACCGTTATCTGAGAAAACCTCTTCCTCCAGGGCTGGAATAATGCCTAATCCTGGAGGGTCCAGTAAGTGCTAATTGGCCCCCACTCCACCTCTCCACGAGGCCTCCCATGCCTCGACCTCCACCTTTTTGCCAGCAGACTCCCACCTCTGGGAGCCTTGGACTTGGCAAAGGGCCCCTGGCTTAAATCTAGCACTACCACTAAGAAGCTGCAGACCTTGGGCAAGTCATTGAGTTTAGGATTCCTTCCCTGTGAAACAGGCCCTGGTAGCAGCCACCTCACTGAATGGGTGAGAGTATGCCGCGACACAGTGCCTGTGAGGCCATCTCCAACCATTAAGCATTAAGCGGTATAGACCTTGGAGCCAGACTGCCTGGGTTCAGATCCCAGCTCCACCACATACTGTTTGACTTTGGCAAGGTACTAACCTCTCCAAGCCTCACTCTCCTCATCTGTAAAATGCGGATAGTAGTTACCTACCTCATAGGGTTGTTAGGAGGGTTAAATAAATCAATCTGGTATTTGTAATGTATGTAGGGCAGAGCCTTGCTGCTAGTGTTTGCCGTTATTATTATGGTTGCTATTGCAGCTCACTGCTGCCTGTGCTCCTCCCCCTGGGAACAGTCAGTCAGGGTCCCAGCACCCCCCTCCCCTCTGGACTGGCCTGCGCTCCCCTCCAGCCCCTCACCTGGGTGGTGGTGTAGGCGTCTCCATTGCGGTATCGGGTGACCTGGCGGGTGCGGCGGACATAGTGGTAGCTGATGGCCTTCCACCAGATACAGGGCGTGGCCTGCTGCATGCGGCCCACACGCTCCCGCACGCTGCTCACATCAACACGGTGCTGCAGCTCATGGCGGGCTTGGCAATGCCAACACTCCACCAGGTAGACGGCGTACAGCATGAGCAGGAAGGCCAGGGGGATGTAGACATAGCCGTTGGAGCAGGGGCTGTCGTGGTACATGAGGCTGTTGCCCTGGTAGGCGCTGCTGAAGGTGAGGCGGGTCACCGTGGTTACGTGGCACCAGGCCACGGCCCCCAGACAGCCGTACATGAGCAGCGAGAGCAGCAGGCACTTCCAGTGGGACTCACGGCAGAGGGACTTGGTGAAAGAGGGCTGGATGGGACGCTGCTGCTCAGATGGGCAGGGGAAGGTCCAAGGTGAACAGGGAGTGAGACAGAGTGGCAGGACCCAGCACAGAGATGGATGGAGGGGTGGAAGCCAGCATCAGAGATGACAGGGACGTGGCAAGAAAAGGTAAGACCAAGATGGGAGCCGAGGACCAAAGATAAAAGCAGAAATGACCCAGAGTGAGCCATGGGGACAGGAAATGAGAACAAAATGCCAATGCAGGGAAGTGTAGAGAGAGACACCCCAAAAGGCAGCGAGGGATCACAGCCAGAGATGGAGGGAGGAGGCCCAGGTGGCAGAGAAGACACAGATGGATAGGATGGTACCCAGAAAAACACAGTCCAAAGACAGACATAAAGATGGCAGTGAAACAGGAGAAGGCGTGGATGGGGAAGACAAGGGAGGACAGATAGGCATCAGGGAAGGCAGGTCCCCAGCCAGGACTCCTTCCAAGTGTTCCAGGAAAGTGGGGAGGGACCCACTGACATCACTTTCCTGCTTAACAGGTGAGGCCCTCGCTTCTTCCAGGTTCTTTGAGTCCTAGGTTCTGGAAGAGCCAGTCCTGTTTGACCCATCCACTTCCCTGTCCCTCACAGACAATTAGTCTCATACCTCCTTTGGGAGGGGGCAGGAAACCCTCAGTTCTGACTCCTTCCCCACGTTCTGAACCCTAGGCCCCCTGTGAGTCCCCTTCCTGGACCCTCACATCCTTTTCCTGTTCTCAGAGGGGAGGGAGAGGACTGGCATCTCTGAGTAGAAGGCAGTCCAGGAGGAGATATCCAGAAGGGCCGAGGCAAGTGGCTGGGGACAGGGGATGTGGGACTGGGTGGGGAGTAGGGAGGAAGAGGTTTGCAGCCCAGCCGTTTGTCAAAAGAAAATGATTCTTGGGGCTGGCTCTCTGGGGGCCTCTTGAAGCACTTGGCCCACTCTGTCCCATGGTTGCCCCAATGAGTTGTTTACATGTCTAGACTGAGTGCTCCTGAGGGCAGGGTCTCCGTCTTTGCATCCTGGGTGCCGACCGTGGCACCCAGCACGCCGACCGTGGCACCCAGCACGCAGCAGCCACTTAATAGATGAGAATGGAGTTGGAATTCTGGTGGTGGGCTGTGCTTTCAACTCCTCCTCCCTGCTGTCTAGCTTTAGGAACCCCTCCCCCCCACACACACCCTCCTACTAGATCCTGATTTCCTCCAATTCCCCAGGCCTAACCTGGAGGCTAGCCACGGGAAGGGAGAAGAGGGTGGAAAGGAAGGGCACAGTAACAGGCAGCAGTCCCTGGGCCTGGTGTGAAATGAGAGGAAAGATCTGGAAGTGCAGATAGGTAGGTGGGCTAGGAAATAGCACACAGCGTATACAAACAAGATTAGGGTACGGGGTACCTTTGTGGGAGCCTTGTCCTTGGGGTGTGTACATATGTGCACCTTTGTGTGTCCACCTGAGTGTATCCCACTGAGCGCACATCTGAAAGGGTCTCTACCTGCAGGTCTGCCCCGTCCCATGTGCTTCTGCTCAAGTGCAGTGTGTATATATGTGTGTGCACGAGTGTGCCTGGGGGGAGGGGGGGGAGGGGAGCAGTGCTACTGGTACCTTCCTCAGTCTCTTTGTCTCCAGGTTCAGAGGACTGAAGAGTAGGGCTCCAACTAGGGAGATGCTTATTTCCAACACTCTGAAGGATTCCTGGGCTCAGGGCATCCCCCCACCCAGGAATGAGGGAGCTGCAGGGACGTTGGGAGAGAGGTGCACTCACTCCCAGTGACCCCGGGGGTAATCGCCTCTGTACACATTTGACCTTCTTAGGATCACAGCTCAGGTACCACCACCATTTCCTCTTCTGCCTCTGTAGCCCCTACAAGTCGCCCTTCCTTGCATTCAAGATTGCATCCCCTTCGCGAAACAGGAATCCTGCCACCGTCCCCACCCCATTCCGCCCGGGGTCCGCGAGGCTCCGCCCCTAGGCCCCTCCCCCTGCCCGGGACCCCCGAGCCCCGCCCCCGGCGCAGCCCCTTCCCCGCCACCGCGGACAGCTCCGGCCACCGGTGGGGGCATCGGCGCGGGACTGCGGCTGCGGCGGCCGGCTCGGGGTGCGGGGCGCCGGCCGCGCTGCGGCGG